CTGGTTCACAAACTCACAGCCGTGCAGTGCACCAATGCAGAATCGTAGTGACGTTGAGGAGCGACATAAAAACAGAACAATTATCAAACCAATAATCTAACCATAATTTGCTGCTGTTGAAAATGACTTAAAATGTAAATTCATTATAGTTCCTGAGGATGGAGTACTATGGCGGTTCCCTTTGTGAAGTTTGGCAGAATGTGACCACTGTGGGTTACAAGAAGAACACGTACACACTGTGGGTGACTCATTCAGAGAGAGGTGCAAATGGCAAAGAAGAGCCCGCCATACCCCTCCATTATGAGATGATGGGATACAACACGCTGCTGGGGTCACACTATGATAAATACTTGGTGGACTACAAAGAGTTCAGCACTCATGTGGACCCCAAAGTCTTCTCACTGCCTGAAGGTTCGTGATCTGCTGTAGCTGCATGCATCAGGACCGTTAAAAAAAAGATTTAATTGGTAAAATACAACTTTTATGTTTTGTCAATTTTTCCCCACAGGGATGAGCTGTGGCGGATTTCCTGGTCCGGGAGTGGAGCACCACATGTTGGCCAATCCAATGAAAGATCTCATCCACACCTCAGCTTCCGGCCACTCGGAGCGCATGTTCAATTATTTCAAGGAGAAGTTCCAGCGTCAGTACAGCGATGAAAGAGAACACGAGAAAAGACAACACGCTTTTGTTCACAATCTCCAGTGAGAGGAACATTTAAATACTTACATGAGTTGTGACACTGCAGCACTGCCAATATGAATGTTTTCTTGAAGGACATAGGCAGCGTCAACAGCAGTCCAGCATGGACACATAAGAAGTTTAAACTGAAGATTTTCTGATGATCTGGCGACTGTTTTTTTCTCGTCACTGTAGGTATGTCCATTCAAAGAATAGAGCAGGACTTCCCTTCTCTCTGGCTCTGAACTCTCTGTCAGACCGCACCATGTCGGAGCTGGCCACCATGAGGGGAAGGAAACTAGGAAAGACACCAAACAGAGGGCTCCCCTTCCCCTCAAAGATTTACGAAGGGGTGAAAGTACCGGAGTCACTTGACTGGAGGCTTTACGGTACGTTTATACAATCTAATACGATGCATCGTCCTGGCAGGACATCCCAGATTTTACCTCAACTCTCCTCTTGCAGGTGCTGTGACCCCAGTGAAGGACCAGGCAATCTGCGGCTCCTGTTGGAGCTTTGCCACCACTGGAGCAGTAGAGGGCGCTCTCTTCTTAAAGGTGAAAAGAATAAAAAGCAGCTTGCAGGCTTGCACCACAGTCACTGGCCGCATTCCAGTGTTTTCAATTGATGGGGCTACTTCCATATGCTTTTTGAAGCCACAGATGTTAAGCATGCCAGTTCCTCTGTTCATGTTTCAGGTTGATTTACATAGCAGTTGTGTATGGTGTTAATCTCTTATTGACATATTTCTAAATATTTAAAAAATGATAAGATGGAGCTTCATTGTAGGTGTAGGGGAGGATTACAGCACATTAAATAGAAACAAAGAATATAATGTGTAAAAAAAAAAATGAAAGCTAAAACCTAAACAATAATGACCAATTTAGTATTGAAAGTAAAAAGTGGCCAGTATGAAGTACATAGGAAAGTATAATTATCGTAGACATTTTTTAAGGTGGCATGAGAATGTTTTGCGGCATAAAAATCTCAATGTGGAGAAATGCATCATACAGTCAATCTGCATCTGATGCTTATTATTTAAGGTGTTCTGATAAGCTTAAGAAAGTCTTCCCCGTGAGTAAAAACAAACCCTCCCCTTCAGAGTAGGGGCGAGTCCACAAGACGGTTCATTGTGCCACTTTCACTCACGTTTGGCAGACAGACAATGTGTGTGAAGAAATAACATTGAGTGAGTGTCAGCTTTGGCCTGCCTCCATCCCGTGCAAGGCAAGCCTCAAAGGCATTCCTTTTCCCGTGTTGCCAAGCAACTCCATCCAAACACTGGATGGTGTATTATGGGATTTGATAGCACCCCACTGAAGTGACCAAATTCTTGATTCTGTCTCTTGCTGTGGGCCTGTAGCTGTCTAATTGTTAAGCTGATAAAGGGCAAAATGGAAAAACATTTGGGAGGTGGGTAGTGATTGTTGAAGAAAATATGCCCCCACTTGTACATTGTTAACATTTTAACTAATCTTTTAGCCGTTAAAATGTCAAAAAAGTTGACAATATCCCAGCAGGACTTGCTAAAACAGTTTAATTTCCAGAAAGTCCCTTGAGATTGAAATCTGTTTTCCGATGGAGACCTGGCCAAGAAAGCACACCAGTTCCAATTTAAATAGAAATAAAACACAATAATGAACAAAAAAAGTTTTGCTAAGGTTACTAAAATATGACCACACACATAGAAAGTGTATGAACTTCTCTGTGGATCAGTACAGCTCTAATTGTTTCAGCGTTTGATTGGGCCAGGAGGAAGTACTGTTGTGAAGCCCCAGCAGTTCGTCTGTGTGCCTTTTCTAGCAGAAAGTGACCTGCGTGATGCGGCACCCCCCCCCCGTCCCCATAGGCAGCTTCGAAAACAGAGCCACTCCCCAGGGGCCAATTTTAAATGTACTTCTTCGTGATCTCACAGCATCTGCCTAGCAACCTGTAAATAACAGCTGTTGTAAAAATGTTCATTATAAACTATTCAATCTCGAACCATCTATTTATGCTTGACCTTTTCTCTAATGTTTTCTTGTTGGTTTAGGTGTATTATGAAGCCATTTGTTTGTTTTATTTTAGTTTATTTTCAGAGGTTTTGTGCAGTGCCATAAGATACCAAAGATGGTTCTAATGTTTGTATTATATTTCAGAGAATGCGATTCATGCAGAGCAGGGCAGGTTACTAATCTGTGTGTGGAGTGTGATCATGTTTTGCTCTTGTCTTTCAGACGGGCTCCCTGCAGGTTCTGTCTCAGCAGATGCTGGTGGACTGTTCCTGGGGTTTCGGCAATAACGGCTGCGATGGAGGGGAGGAGTGGAGAGCGTACGAGTGGATCATGAAACATGGAGGCATCGCCACAACAGAAACCTACGGAGCCTATATGGGAATGGTGAGATAATTCCAAGACGTGATGCCTGTTCCTGCAAAATAACATGTATTTATAGTGCTTTCCTTTAAGGATGGCAGGCAACTGTGACAATGAAACACCCTCACACAAGTGGTCCTCCATATTTGAGAGATAGTGAATGGTGCATTTTTAATTATTCTTTAAATTCTATATATACTACTATAAATACTGCATTTTGGAAGTCTTTCTCCTTGTCCTAGTTCTCCTACTTGGGGATAATTGCCAAAATAAATCATGGAAGGGAACACCTGATTTCATCTGACATCTGAACTGAGGCAGCAAAGCTCAGTTGGACATTTTGTAAAGACTACTAGAATTACAAGTTCCTTTGAAACACAATTCCATCTGTCTGCACATAATTGTATCTAAGATGTTTAAGGCAGCTTAAGAAATGTTCCCACCAGTACAATGTGCCTAATATACAGAAATGAATGCCTTTGACAACTTTTAAACAAGCCTGAAATAACTGAAAACTGCGTAAATAATCTGTTTTATTCAAAAGGTTTGCATCTGTGTTGGAGTCGGTTATAAATCTCTGTCCAGTACAGCACTTGTGTGCACAATCTCTGCTTTAACCTTGATAGCCAGATCAGTATCCAAGTCAGTTACCTTTCACACAAGGGGACACGTACTGTATGACGGTGACTTATATTTCCAGTCCTGTTGCACAACAGGGTTCAGTATTACATTTTCTCTGTCCCTTTCTGAACAGAATGGATTTTGCCATGTGAACACATCCCAGCTTACTGCACATATCCAGAGCTACACCAACGTCACATCTGGAGATGCTGAGGCTCTTAAGCTGGCACTCTTTAAAAAAGGACCGGCAGCTGTCAGTATTGATGCTTCACATCGATCATTCGTTTTCTACAGCCACGGTGTCTACTATGAACCAGCTTGTGGTAAGTTTACCTCTCATTTGTACTTTTACAGCAGCAACTGTCTGTCTCTTTCTGTGTCTATAACCCAGCATGCTTCTTGTGTTTTCCAGGTAACACCACTGATGATTTGGACCATGCTGTGCTTGCAGTGGGATACGGCACCCTGAGTGGGGAGCCTTACTGGTTGATAAAGAACTCATGGTCCACTTACTGGGGCAATGACGGCTACATCCTCATGTCTATGAAGGATAACAACTGTGGCGTCACCACTGATGCTACATATGTTACACTGGCATAGATCTGCCCATTTCCTCTATATGTATATGTTAATGCCACTAGAGTGTGTGAGTTTTGGATGAAAGACACCTAATGATGGATGTGTTGAGCTGTGATTATCGCATCACACTGAGCTGCTTGGGGATGATAAAGTTTTAAACATAGCTGTTGAATGGAATCAGTGTGAACTGAGATGCTGCACAACTCGCACACAAAAAAAAGTCCACCATTTCAAACATGGTTTTGACAGATTTATTGCTGGTGGCACATAGCAGCGGTGCCTTCATTTAAGTTGTAAAAAGTACATTGTGTGACAACTTTTCACTTGTTCTACTTTATTTGTTGTACTCAAATGCACTGGCTGGAATCAATGCAATAAAAAATTGGAAGGTTTTCCATTATTTGGCTTCCGAGTTATCCATGATCTAACATAGTAATAATAAGGCATGCTTTCTAAATTCTAAAATGGGGTTTTCCCCTCCACATATACATTTTACACATTAAAAGCATACTGGCCTTTGCAAGAGGAATAATAGATTTTGAAGAATCAAATTCCTTTTGCCTGAGTGACAGCATATTACTTAACCTGTCCTTCTGATACATGCCTTTTTATGTAGCACTAATCAATATACACAATAACAGCCCTTAAACACTTGTAAAATGTAAGAGATGTTTCACAGATCCAAGTCAAAGTGAGTAATTTTATATCTGAGTATAATTCAATATAATAAAAAGAACAAACTTCTACAAACAACACAGAAATCAAACATATCTTCACATGCTGATCACAGTTACAACTCCTAGTTTTCAGACAAAACTAATAATTAACGACATTAGTCCAACAAAAGGCTACATTAGACATAATAAAGTTAACTAGTGCATGCAATCTCACTTGACTAGTTTTATTTTCCTTGGCTCGAGAATGAGAACATAGAAAACGAGGCAGTTGCTTGTTCAATACAGCTTTAAGATACAACAAAGACACTCCACAAACAGTCCACAGATATGTTTTATTATCCAAAAATATTATGTGCTTTTACTCAATGCCAAAATGTAATAAACCCTTCAGTCCTGAAAAATATCAAGTCCTAACAATAGCTGCTCAGCAGGGCTGTATGTACTGCATTAAGTGTCAGTCTGAAGTCTTCTTGTCTAATCTGATTTTTCAAATCAGCACAGGTTTAAAAATCTCTGAGCTGATGCCTGTAGATTTAAAAATGTATACAAATATGCAATCTGTGTGTCTGCAAAGTCTTGAGGGGATCTATTCTTTTATAGTTCTGCAGATTTGTCTTCCAGGCTCATTTATTCAACGGCATCACGTATGTAAAATATATCAAACCATGTCTCAAAACTGGAATGAAGGTGTAAACATCTGAGAAATGCACAAATTGCAAAGGACAACAATTTATATCTGACTTTACCTGTATTTACCTTTACCTGCAACAGTAGGCTGTTGATTTTCCTTGGTAGCTTAAATGAATGCCTGCTGTGTGCGTGTGTGCACCTGCAAGCTAGTTGGGTGGAAATGTGTTTGGCTTTCCTGCATAGAGCTCTGATCCTAACATGTAATTGCATAGAGGATGTTGTGTTGAGTACTGTATCAGGTAACAAGGTTGAGGCTGTATAATATGTGAATAATGGAATGTGTGCATCCTTTTACACACACTTAGTCCTGGCTTGCTAGATGCCGTAGCTCCTGCTCCTCTGTGCTGCTGGCTGATTGGTTGATATCCTCAGGTATCTCAGGGTTCTCCTTGTTGGGAGGCGACCTGCAGGAGACAAAACACAAAGTGCACACTGGAGTATTCGCAGAGGTTGAGTCTTCACATGGGAACAAACAGGGCAGGGGGATTTTATATCCTGTTCAGGGTCATGGAGGCTGAACGCCAAGGACAGACTAACAGCACGGTGAACAAAGAGCTCAAAAGAGACTAAGAATGTGCAAAAACTGTGATAAACTCCAATCTGAATAAAAACAGAGGTCACATTGTAGTACCTCATGTCCCAGTGCTCTGCATCCTCTACTGTGTCAGGAAGAGGTCTGTTGGCAGTTTCGGGCAGTGCTAGGGCCAGGACAGCACCCAGCAGCGGGGCGGTCCCGAAGATGACCAGAGGTGTAGTGGGGCTGTGGTTGTGAAGCATGTTTATTATTGGTGCTAACACACCGCCCACCCTCGCAAACATACAGGATACACCTATTCCTGTTTGCCTGTCAATGCACAAGAGAAAAAAATGTTGCAGGTGTTACCCTCAGAGACTTTTAAAAATCATTGTTTGCATAAGAAAAGTAAGTGAAAACTATAAAAACAGGTCTTACCGAAGCACAGTGGGAAATATCTCAGCAGTGTAGACATAGATTACAGCAAAGGAAGCTGTTATACCAAACTTCCCTGCCATGGCAAGACCAGTCAGGACATTGGGATGATCTACAGACAGAGGGAGGGAAATGATCAATTTTATGAAATATATTTATGTATCAGTTAGTTAGTTAGTGTCTAAGGATTGCAGAAGGTTTACCTTCCTCTCAGAAGAACAACAACACAGCCACTATCCTACCTGCAGGGACAGCGAGCATGAGCAGACAAGCGATCCCTCCCACAGCGAGAAATCCACTTTGGGATAGCCGGCGACTGCAGGGCAGGACAAGCAGGACAAGAGAACGAGCCGGGATCTCAACCAACCCGAACACAAACTGGGTCAAGTAGAGGTTTGTCCCCAATCTGGACACACCCAGTGAGAGGCCGTAATACACCAGCACGTTCACAAACCTGGGGTTCAAAGGAGGAACAGGGATATAGACAAAATGGGAAAGAGAGAGAAAGAAAATAGTAAAAGGAATTTGATTTGTTACTGAAAAAAACATAAAAAGCATAAGTGCATGCACACATACACACACAATTTACCAGATATAGAACAAGATGATAGCCCTCTTCCTCATCTGAGGTGTTCGTACAAGATCCACTGCTGAATGACTTTGCTTCCCTCCACCTAAAATCTTCTCAACCTGGACACACGTAAACCAAACCCTTTAAAAGATAAGACTTCTACATTAACAATTAATTCTACTAACAAGAATCACATGTGTAGTCAAAGCCTGATATATTACTCATTCCTTTGTGCCATAGAGCTCCATTGTTGCCCAAAACTATTAAAAAAACTACTAACACACACATTAGTTTATTTTGAGACAATCCCACATTTACTGTCCTGCTGCCATAAATACTCAGCTAGAGCGTAAGTGTATTAAGCTACAGAATACTGCCCAAAAAATTCACTATCCACTCCTGTTTGGGTAACATTCACTAAAAACTACAGCACCCACCTTTTTTAGGACATTATAGATACAAGCAGACAGGTGAAGATGACAGGTGCGTTGAATGCATTGTTTGTTTTGGGCTTTTATAGTTTGTTTTAAGAAGTCATACTGCATGCAGCAGTAAAAAATACATTTGAACAGCTTAGATAGCATCATGGGAGTCTAAGGAGTAAAATGCCAAGAGACGCACGTGTACAGCCGGAGGCAAGACCCGACCATTAACAAGTGCTGCCTTACGGAGGAGTGCGATGGCCTCCTCCCTCCTATTGTTGGCCAACAACCATCTGGCAGACTGAGGAACCACCCTGACAGCAGATAGAGAGAGCATACAGCAGAAAGGGAGAGAAGGGCGAGGAGAAAGGACAGGCAAGAAAGTGCCAGAAATTAGGGGAGAGGAGGAAAAGAGGATCACAAAGAGGGCATTCATGACTTCATAGAACTGTGTGCACAGTGGATCTAATGTTCACATGCCCATTGAATTTCCCACCATATATAGAAGATGAGCAGGAAGCCGGGGGCCGATATAGCCAGTTGCAGCTTTCTCCAGTCTCGTATCAGGTATGCTATGCCTGGCAGGAGCATGTAGCCCAGACCAAACGCGTAGTCTGTGATGATACCGGCGAGCATGCGCCTCTTGGTGCACGTCCACTCAGTGCCTTTGAAAAAACAGTGCAGGGTTTGGAAAGAAAGGAGAGGAGGGATCGTGGGGTTAAACTAAGGTGGTGGTTTGGAGGTAGTGGAATGAGAGGCAAAGGTTTGTGTTCTGGGATTGGGCAAAAATATCACAAAAAGCATGAGACATTATTACATTTAAAGTATTGCATGTCTGAGGAATAAGTGACAAATGGATGGATATCCGCTTTCCTTGACTGAACAACTGTGCATGCTAGTATAATCTTTTTGTTATCCATTTTTTTCAGAATCCACAAGGAATTCAAACATCCTATCATGTGTTTTCAATGACACTAGCATATGCTAGCACACATGCATGCAGCTCTGTGGGGCTAAACTAAGGCACAGTTATGCTTTGTCAGGAAGTAAACATGCTCACAATCACAATGCTGCGATATGTTTAGCAGGGAGAAATGTTACTATGTGTTCACATTAGCATGCTAAAAGTTGCTAATTAGCTAACACTATACACAAAGTAAAGCTGAGGCTGATGGGAACATCAGGTATTCAGTTCTAAAAGAAATCTTTGGACAAACGAAACGAAATGAAAAGCCCTGGTATCACAAAAGTTGTTTCAATTTAGCCTGTGGGAAACATGAGTCTATACCAGATTTCATGGCCATTTAGTGGTTGTGGAGAAAGTTCACTTAAAACCACGAGTGCAAACCAAATGGTGGTGCTAGCCATCCCTAAAGACACAAGCTAGGGCAATAGCATGTCTAAACACCATGTCCATCTCTCAAATGTCAGCATTTTAGATAGTGAGATGAACAACACATGACAACACATTTTAAAGGTCCAGTCGGTACATTTCAGTGGCATCTAGTGGTGAAGTTGCAAATTGCAACTAACTGAACACCACTCGCATCTGTATATGACGATGAATGAGAATGGACTCTCTCTATCTGCAGAATGAGAATAGGCTGTTGTGTGTAGGAGAAACTACAGTGGCTACAGTTGCAAAAAACATAATGTATATGTAGGCCCAGCAAGTGTTTGGTTTGTCTATAGATAAAAACTCTTTCTTTTTAAATCTGATACAATCTCATTAATCCAAACATCTCATCTAATCTTTTCTCAACAATAAATGTAAATATGATGTAATTTGTGCATTTTCTCAATTGGTAATGAATGCACTACTGCTGCTATTACTACTGCAATGATCTCATGCCTCATCGTTCTTGTTTTTGAGTGCATATCTGCATTTTGTTAGTACCGAGTACAAAGGCATTGATGATGACTCCAGATATGGTGGTGCCGACTAGAAAGCGAAGAATCACATAGACGGCGAAGTTGGGTGCAAAGGCCACAGCGACTCCAAACACAGTCTGAAGAGCGATGGACAGCAGCAAGATGAAACGTCGGCCGTACCTTGCACAGAGAGAGAAGGCGTGGACATGAGTTTGATCTCGAAGCCCATGCATAAATGAGGAAACCACTGTGACTGAGGGAAGGTGAGACCAGGCTATACAATGTGATGTGTTAGTGTGTGAAAATGTGGGAGAAATGAGAAATGAGAGAAACAATAAATATTTCATAACACAAAAATGATTTTGATTTTTCAGAAGATGTTTGATGCACAAACATCAACTATGAGTTCCAATCCAATTATAAAGAAACAGTATCTGTCAAAACCTAGTGTGCTACTTCAGCCCTTCAACTAAATCAGCATGCCCTACTTACATATGACTACCGTATTCCGTACCGTACTCCAACTGTGTCTTCCCCTTTGGCCATGCTTTGATGCTTTGATCTGGTTGTGTATTGTATCTGTACAAAGTCAGAGGTTACTGGGCTCCAGGCTAAGAGGCAGAGCCTACCTGTCAGCCATGGCTCCAAACACTAGGGATCCCACCAACAGGCCAAACATGTAGACGGACGAACCAAGACTGTTCAGCCCAGCTTTGTCGCACACCAGGTCCCACTGGTTGAAGGACAAAACAAACAGAAGGGAGGGGGTGTTAGTGGAGCATAGGCATGGTTGCAAGAAACAAACCTTTTATTTCTCATTTGACATACAGGAACCACTTGTGTGTCAGTGCTACTGAAAAATTAGTTCATGTTGATAATAGTGTATGATGTGCTATGCTACCAAGGGTGATTACCAGCTGAGCAAAGCAGGCAACTGCCCCCAGGCCACATGGACCCCCTGCTAACATCAACATGACATCATAAGGGCATTAGGCTGGGTCCAGCTTAAGTCCCTAAGGTGCCCTGTATCAAAATGTAGCTTTAAAGAAGTAGTTTTGAGGAGTACACTTAAGTTAGATGAGAAAATCGGTGGACACAGATATCTGCATCACATCAGCCACTAATTACATTATTATTTAAACCTGGAGTCTAGAAACAATATTTGCAGTTTGGGGGCGGTGCAGGAATTTCTTGAGGTTTTCACTGGTTGCCTGGTAACCTCAAGGTGATGGCAAGACTTTAGGAAGTTACTTTTCCTGAATTATGGCATGTTACAGACTTAAAAAGCTGCTGTAAGGTGGATTTTGTTACCTTTGGACAGCCATGCAGCTAATTTTTGCCCCATTGCTCCCTACCAGTAATCCGGCCTTGTAAGGTACTTTTATCTGCCTTCACATCACCATACGGGGACTTTGTGTAGTCTCTCTATTATGTAGAATGTGTAGTAGTAAAGATAACAGTGGTCTTAATACTTGGTGACATTTTGGTTTTGCTTTCATTATTAGTCCCACATTGTTTTTTAAAGGACTTCTCCCAGACTTGGATGTTTATCAAGAGTAATAGTAAACGAATGATTCATTATTATTTTTTACAGTGGAACAACTCATTGCACCTGTTTTATTACAGGAGCATGAATTTGGAAAGTTGCACACTTTTAATTTGTGATTACACAGATCATATTTATCGCGCTCTTCAGCATCCTGCTGTACCTCTGTGACTGTGGTACTCTGGAAAGTCTCCTTGCTGTACACCCATCCGTGGCCACATGGGACGCGCTCAGTCCGGTTGCTCTGAGGCAGGACGTCGGAAGAGAAGCAGGGGGAGTCCGAGAGGCTGAAGTTCAGGCTGAGTGTACCGGGGAAGGAGGACTTATTCCCGGATACTGGGCTCGGGCTCTCCCGACAGTGAAACGGCGGCGTGGCTCCGGTGAAGATGCTCACCATCATGTGGAAGGCGAGGAGGATCTGGGGTAAACAAATCCATATGTACAATATTTTCTGATATTTGCCGAAGCCTCCGATGGCGGAGAGGATCTGGTCGAAATTCATTTTGGGAAATATAGGTCAGTTTGGAGATTTGGCTCTCTTCCAGCGGTGCAGCCAGTGGGAAGGAGGTTGAAGGCTGAGAACACCCACCAGACAATAAATCAGTGGTGAGCTGTTGTTCAGGAGGTAAACAAGGAAAATCAAGCATGTGTCAACATGGTCAGTCCAGCTTCAATCTACCAACATGAGCCATCTATAGCTGTGAAAGGACCTGAAGAAAACATGAACTGATATCATCTTCTATCACTTATCGTCTTCCTGCAGGAACCACACAGCTCGATGCTCCAGAATCAGATAGGTGCCCAAAGGTCCAACATCACGTGGGAACCAGACAAGTCAGCTTGATGCATTAAAAACTACATGCAGAACTGTCCTCGTTGAGCCAATGGTTGACAGTATTAGAAAGTGAAAAAGTCATGCAGCCTAGAAAAGCTGTTTTCCACACGGCGCACAATCAGGAGAACCCCGCACACGTTAATGGCAGCTGGGGGCGCATATGTTGTGATATATTCTTTACTTGCAGGGCAGGGCCACAGCCTCATTATAAAAATCCCACAAAAGACGCTCCAATGCAACACTCGCAACAACACTGACGCTCTGTGATCTTATAGGCGAATATATTTATTATGTTTTTCTCCATGGTCTTTATTTAAGCATCAATCGCACATGCTGCCATTCACCATACTGATTTACAGTACCTCATTGTATATTAATGGCAAATACAACACAAACATCTCTGTATTTATTTGCAAAACAAAAACATGCCTGAAGTCCTCAGAGGCCCTCTGCTGCCATCTGCAGGGAGAACATTGAATTACAGACTCCTCTCCTCCAACCTCAGTCTGCCACTGAGAGCGAGAGAAACATCATGTCAGGGGCGGTGTAGAGAAATATTGTTGGGGTGGCCAGAGGGTGGCATGGAGACTTTAAGGGGTGGCAGAAATATGCGCACGATTTAATCGCAAACAATCAATATAGCTACATCAATAGAATCAATAATACATATATCAATATTTTCTTGAAAATGCCCACTAATGATGATATTTTAATTTAAAAAACATTATATTATTGCGACACATTAGTAAAGCATTGAATAGAAATATCTTAAAGGTTGCCTTAAAAAATCAATACATTGTGTAATGATTTGACATTAACATTGACCAATCTAAAAGGTTGCTATTAAACATCATTAAATACATTTTTGTTTTTTAACACATCATATTAAATCTACTTCAGCTATTTATTTTTTATTTACTGCTGGGTAGCTTAACTTAAAACAAATATATAAGCATTCATAGTTGATTTATATTTTCAACACTCTCAATCTGCCATGTAACAACTATATATTAAATGTATATTAAATACAGATAAAACTGACTTGAACTGATGATACAACAAAATGCAGATTGATTCAATGTAACATGCACAGTTAGGGTCAGTTGGGTAAGTTTGTACAAGAGATTTATAAAATCCATAAAATAGGAACATATAGTAATATAAGAACTGTTTTGATCTAATTCTCTATGTGATGGCTGAGTGCACAGGCCTACACCATCAATGTGCACTGATTGAAAACTTTGTACAGCTACAGATATAACCATTATATTGGATGAATACCAGCCATGCAATAAAAACACTGTGTTACTAAAAGGTCTGTGTTCTTAAGAGAGGCCAACTGCTAGTCACCTGATATATATAATGTATAGAGGTGTGTATTGGGTCAAACATCAAGCATAGACCAGAAATAATGAAAGACCAAAGAATGATACAAGAACAACCGCAAAGAAGAATTAAACTCACTTTGCAGAACCGTGAGATATTCTACAAATATCCTAGCTTTTTATAACGTGTGAGAGTTAGGCCTGTGTTTCTTTGTAAAAAAAAAAAAAATGTAGCCAACTACAACATTGTCAGGTCCAGAGCAGTGAGGGTGAGGAATGGCTGACTCAGTCATGTAAACAATGGCTCCTCTCTCCTCAGTGTAGCTGGTAAAGCGGGAGGCAATCACTGCAGGCTCATGGGAATTAGTTTAATTTCTGTGTTCAATAAAAGAAAAAGTCTACTTTCATACAGTATGTGGGTGGACTTATGTTTATGTATAATGATAATAATTCACCTTACTTTAGGAATAATGCCTGTATGTTGATATATAATGTAATACACAATTAAATTAAAAGGGTAATTGTTAAAGGTTTAAATATCCAAATAGATGAATTTATTAACTTTCTATGTCTGCTCCTGTCCCCTCCCCGTTGTGGGTGCTCGTGACGTCAGTGATGCTCGGTCCAGAGCGGGTTGGGTCCTGGTTTGGGTTTCTGGATGGCAGCAGGGAGAAAAACTGTCAGATCAGATAAAATTCTCCCGGATGCGGTTAGAAACAAAGCGTTGCTTTCAAATTAAAAGAACAAAACGTCTAAATTCTAAATCTAATCTAATGAAATCTTGAGGTGTTTAACCTTATCAGTATGCATAATATACATTGACATGGTCGTATTCTTTTCCAGTGTTTGTGACAATCCACCAATAAAGTATTTTCACATCGGAAATAAATACATAACTGAGAGAACGAATAACATATTTATTTTTTATTGTGTATTAATCTGTCAGGATCAAGTCTCATCCTGGTTTTGGGGCTAAAGTCTGTTTACTAATGGGGATTTTATTTTGAAGGGCGGGGACCAGAAGTCTGACTACTCTCGTCCTGGCTGTGTTCACAGTGGTGAGGGAGGCTCCAGAGACAGTGAGAGACAGAAAAGAGAGACAGAGGGAGATGGCTGAAGGGAAGGAGGAGTGGACCGGGTCAAGAGCGACTTTGGAAACCAAACTAAGGTGACCTTGATCATCCAGTCCAGAGCTGTCAGCGCTGTGCAGAGAGTCCAGACCGGAGAACCATCATCACAGCGACCCTCCCGGCCTGCACCCACACTGTCTGACAGAGACGGTTTGTACCTGCTCATCCGAGGGGCATTCATCAATATCTGCCCGATCCGAGGATTATCTAACTGCCCCAGAGTCCCTTGTGGATTTTTGACAAAGAAAACCACATTGGACCATCCGCTGCTGAGTGTGAGTATTGCTCTGTACAGCGGCTGCCTTCACAAAGAAATGATTTTAATGGCGATGTCATGCATCATACAGTCAGCTGATCATGTTCTGCCACTTATTGTGTCACTGTAAGGACACGATTTATGAAAACCCAGATCCGCAACCGTGACGCGACCTGCTGATGTAGATGAAGCCACACCCACAGACAGCATTCAAATAACACTGTTTATGCCACATGCATGAATGATCCCTGGCCTATTTACTGAGGATACTGCCAGCAGCACGCTCAGCAGCAGCAGGCATTCACTGCAGGACTGTAGTAACGTGTTGGACTGTAGCACATCCAATGAGCTTTGCACAAGTTCTTTCTAAGACATATCATTTGACTGTTACTGCTCTTCTTTTACATTATTTAAAAGAGCAACCGCCTTGATCTCTCCTCAGTGTTAGGTTCCCAACTATAATCCAGTCATTGTTTTCTAATCATCACGAGATATCTCGAAATCCTTCAGGTGTGGTCTAATCCATGTCTAATTTTGGGGTTATTAAACATAAAAAAATTGCTTTAAATAACTAGCTTTTACTTGCCAAGAGTTCATCCAGTTTTGAAGATATGAGGAGGAAGAGTTTCTTTTACGAGTTGACATGCTGGAGTTGGTTGGGAACAGTGCATGGCTTTTAATCCCAAAATCTGCATGTGCATGTTGGCAGAAAATATCTTCATCCACACAGATTATGCAATGCTGGATCTGCCCATTGAAAATAGTTTTACAGGCCAGATACATTTCCACCTAAACACTCTTCCAACCGAGAGTGAATACAGCATTCAAACTGCCGCAATGGGAAAGACGTCCCAAGGTTGTAGTGCAGAGGACGGATCATGTGCTGGAGAGTCCGTTCACCTTTATCTATTGGTGCGGTCATGCATGTGCTTGTCACCTACAGAAACACTGAGTTTCAGATGCACTCATCCATCACCAGCTGTTTGTTATGTCATGCAAGTACAGAGACAACCACCTATTCATGCAGCTAGCTTTAGGACACACACACACACCTCTTTTCTGTTCCTATTTATATTCTGCTCTGCTTGCTGTTTGATCTGACACACAGGTGAATTTCATGATCAAGATCTGTGGTGTGTTTACTGACTGTAGGCTGCTGCACATCTGCAGTGACACACCGAGTTGCAAAATAAAGACAGAGATCTGCAAGGTCGCTGTGCATGAACACTGCTGCTGCTATTTAGTTCAGACAGGGGACCCGGGATCAAACTCGTTTGTCCTTTAACTTCAATACCCACGTTGGTATGCATTCTAAAGTGGCCTTAAAACACCAAATCCCTCGCATCTCACTGCTCTGTATTTTTACCTTCCGTCTGAACTTCCATGAAGTGAGAACAAGAAAAAGGAATTTCCTGTACATGGATCAATTAAGTAGCACACTCCCATTATGACATGCTGTTATCAAGAGTTGCTCTTAACCTCCGCCTGCCATCTTATTCGTTTCCCGACAAATGAAAAGTGGAGTCTGCAGTGGACAGGATGTGATTTATGCAGCTTGCTGGCAGACAGCACAGTGCAGACTCAGCAGTAGCACTTGAAGTTAAAGACTCTGTAGGGAAAGAGCGAGGTGCATTGATTAGTGTGGACTTTGGGTTACACCATCACAAGTATGCTTACTACATTAATGCCCCTGCTTTTCTTCGTCCCTCCCTCCTCCCCCCTCTCCAGGTTGCTGTATCTCCTCTCTGTCAGGTGACAGGTGACAACCTGCTAACCCAGTTGGAGCTCCAGCTCCATAAGCCCATGGCCCCTTTTTCTCTCCACCAGTGAGAGGTGAGCCAAGCTGGCCTCCCCGGCCCCCTCCCTGGCTCCGGCCCCAGACCTGGACCCGGATCCGGACCCTGAGCCGGACCAGCAGCACACCCACGAGGAGCAGTATGTGAGCGAGGGCGACTGCAGCCAGCTCGACACATCCACGGTGCCACCCGACTGCAGGGACGCCGAGACCATCACAGGTGCGTGTGTGTGCAAGCTGGGGTCAGCTTTTTAGGAATTAAGGAAAACATAGCTTTGATTTCATCCAAATCTCCAAACATGCCTACATAGTTTGCACATGACAACAGCGATATGTAACATGTTCTAGCAAGTGCTGCATATAACACTTGCTAGAAGTTATAATGCTATAATGTAGAATGTGTTTAGTTATTTTTTTATCTATGTTATAAAGTGATGGTTTATAAAGACCTAATGTCCCAAATAGCCTCATTTCATAAACTCTAATTAAGATGATATACAGTTTTAGTAGCTATTGTTTAAAGAAGAAGAAAACCCATGCAAGAGCCATGCATCCAGAAATAAAGTAGCAATATCCCAGTGTGATGTACTTCAGGCATCAAAAGTACTTGTTACACAGGAAATTGCCCCATGTGAGGGATATGTTATTATAAATTGTTGTTTGTAAAATGTTTTTTTTAATGTAACTACCATCACTACTTTATATATTATTGAGCATTCAAATTATACAGTTATCATAGCTTTAACATGCTCAGTACAAAAGCAAATAGTACCTAAAACTACCTAAAAATACAATATTTGTTCTCTGAATGTAATGTAGTAGAAGTATACAGTAACATACAATGAAAAGTCCTTCAAAACTGTACTTAAGGACAGCACTTAAGTAAAAGTACTTAGTTACATTCACCACTTCTTATATCTATCACATGTTCAACATATATTTACATATATACAAGCTTGTTTAAAAAGTATTAGTTAATATAACATTGTTCTAAATTGTTAAACTGAGACTGGCTCTATGTTATTCCCACACCCTGACATCCTGCAGTCCACCACCAGGTTGCAGTATATTCACTTTCACTGTCCTCTCTGTGGTGTTCAGATGTGTGCAACAGCACTGACCTGCCAGAGTTTGAGATCATCAGTCTTCTAGAGGAGCAGTTGCCAGTGTACCGGTTGCGGGCTGACACCGTCTACGGCTACGACCACGATGACTGGCTGCACACTCCCCTCGTCGCACCGGACACCAGGTTTGACCTGACCACCGAGCAGATCGAAGAGACACTCAAATACTTCTGTAAGTCTGGCCAGAGCGCGGTCAACAGCAATGACTATATATATATATGATTATACAGACAGGGTCTGTTTCCTGTGCTGCTGATGCTCTTTGTAAAGCATTAGGGAACCTTTTAGCTATCTTGTTTCAAATTTCTACAGTGGAAATGTGGTGAAAAATGTTTTAAGGAGGGACACTGGAGATTAAAGTAGTGGGGTTTTATCTCTGGGACTGGTGTCTGGGACTTTAGAAGTGAAGGATTTACCCACCTGCAGGGTACATGCTTTATTTAATCCTTCAAAGGGTTCACAGAAAGATAATCTACTGTAATTTTTTGTGAATTTCATGACAGGTTGAAATAGAGACTCTTCTACTGAATGCTGGCATTTTATTTCATTTTTGTTAAGGAAGACGACAAACTGAGCACAATTTAATCACATACAGTACATAAAACAATTTCCCTAATTTTCTTCTTTACATTTCCTATGTATTAAAACCATTCTCCATTTATTACATTAGGGAAACATTTGCATTATTTTGTAATATGTAGCAATATTATACAGCATATTGCTTGCCATCATAGCTCATATGGGGTTCCTCTCGAGTTTTCACCCTCTATTAGACACACACTTCTTTTTTTATGTTTAATTCTTGTATTTTCTGTAGCAAGGAGTAGTAATTAAAAAAAGTGCTGTTTAGTGTCTCTAAATGGAGGCTTTTAAGAGGTACTGTAAACAGTTGATCGATGGTATAAAATCCTATCTTTGCAGTTAATGTTTGTCTTAATTCTTCAATTAATTATAGTCAATATCAAATAGTCATCTGATATATAAATAATTTAATACCTCTCTGACACTGTATTTGTCCTAGAGGTCACAATAAAAAGTCAGCATTGAATGAACTATTCTTCTATGCGGTCATCAATAAAAGAGATAATGATTCTGCTAGTTGGCCCAGGAAGATCAATACATCGCCAGTAACAAAGGTCATTCCTGCTCTCCTCCAGCCAAGTCACCACTCTAGACTCTAGAGTAGAGGCTTGAGGAGGGAGTAGAGTGTCTGCCAAGGCTCATATAAACAGGAAATCTTATTTTTTTCATAACTGAGCTGAAGCCATCAGAAGCCATTTGTATAGCTGCTGTTTTTCTCTGTCGTATGTCTGTGACAGATAAATCCTGTCCAGATGATTTTTCTAATCATCTAATACAATATCTGTGTGTTAGAATCAAGACATTTATCACTATTATCTACAGTCTAGTTTGTCCTTTCCCTGTTATAATAGAACTCAGCCTGTAGTCGCCCTCCACAAGGTGGTGCACACGTCCCTGCTTTACTCGTTCACTGAATATTTCCCTCCATGTGCCCGGACTGCTGTGTGGTTTTTATCTAAACATATTGATGCCTTTACCTCGTCTACAATACTATCATTAGGCAGGTTCAGAGAGTTTAGGAGACTTTCTATTTGTTCAGTATAGTAAAGTTCAGTGTACCTCCTCTAACTTAGAATTAACTGGTTTTATTTCTCATTTTATAGATAGTATTGCTAGCATGCTGCTTCTTTAGTTGGTATGCTAACATCTTCATAGATGTGTCTCTTGCATTTACTTTGTTTGCACCACGATCAAATGTAAAGAGTTTTGTGTATGTCTCTGCGTGTGTCAGGGGTTTGTTTGTGGACTAGGGTTGCCATGGTTACAGTTGCTGGAGGCAGAAAGATGTTCAGCGGCCTTGCACATAGCAATAGAGGGAGCAAGCAAGTGGATGAAAGAAAGGTGAAAAGGAGAAAGATGTGGGAGTTCTGTCAGCGTTTACAAAGTCCAGACTTTCTTCCGCTGTGCATACTCTGAATCACTATACAACTTCCACTTCCGTTTCACCTCCAACTCAGCTGTAGAGCTTTTCCAAAACGCACTCTCTCCCATCTCTCTGCCTCCCTCGCACTCACACACACAGGGGCGTCCGTGTGGGCGGGCGGTAAATTAGTCTCTGGGCCTGTTGTGCAGTAGCTGAGCAGTAGGAGCGGGAGAGGGAAAGTGAATGGATCAGTGTTTGGACCAGTTGTCGTTTCTGCTCATCTGTCATTGTGGAGCTCAGGGAAGAGATGGACAGCGAGAGTGGGATGCAGAGATTAGCGAGGGATGAATGTGAGCTGGATGGCTGGTATTATAAGGAGGACAAGAAAGGTAGAGTGCATGTCTAAACTACAATCGAGAAAGTTGTGATTTAATATGTGATTCCTATTCCCAGATATGTGACTAGATTTTTGAGCAAGCTGACCTTTCTAGCTTGAGATTTCCCTGTTACAGTTTGTTTAATGGCTGCAACAGATTGTAAAGTTGTGTTTTCATCCCTTCAGGATTTCTAGCGACAACCAAGCAGCCTTTCCTGGTTGTCTCTGGCTTTGTTCCTCTCATTAAGCGGAATTTCCTCAAGCTCGCTGACTTTGAATTTGCTCTGATTTGACATATCAGCCCTCAAGCACACACGCGTGCACACACCAATCCCCACAGTCCACTGATGTGCCTGTGCGAGCCAGAGTCTGAACAATGTTTGCTATCTTTATTTTCAAAGAAGAAACTCAAAAGTGCTTTAATAAAACAGCAGTTAAATATTTGTGTGCTGGTTGTAATACTAACTAGATTACCAAGGTTTAACATGATGCATTCAATAACTTTGTACAGCATGTTATTGATTAGAGCTCTGCAGTCAATAAGAGCTTTCACCTCAGGGCAACGCGGCTGACCGCTGTGTGCCATGGAAAACAACTCCTCTCTCCTCTTTCATACAATAACATTATATCAATAATGTGTTACACTCTCTAAACATGAACCATCAACCACCTCTGAGAGGACGACTTTTTAAACTTTCTATGTTACATAATGTAGTGTGCGTGCCACTGTACATGTTCGTGTATCACACCACAAGTGATGAGAGGTCATACACACTGCTTTCAGAATCAGAATCAGAAATACTTTAATAATCCCAGGGGGAAATTATTTAAATCATTATTTATTATTTTTATTATTATTTCATCCAGTAAAGGAGGTCTGACTCTGGTTGTTTAATCTTTGTTGTGTGTTTTATATTTCCGCAGTGCTATGTGCAGACAGAGTGGGCCAGATGACGAAGACCTACAATGACATCGATGCTGTCACACGTCTGTTGGAGGAGGTGAGATGGTCTATTTTTGTCAGCTCTATCAGTGTAATTCAAAGCTGCGCTAGAAAGGATTTTTAATTAGACTAAAAGCACAAAGTGAGGCTGCAACAGAGAGGATGCTGTGCTGTAAATGTTTGCCCTAATTGCAAGAATGAAATCTGTCTGAATATGAATAGTTGTGGAAAAACAGAAAGTGATCAAATAAGCAGTGAAATTCAGAAAGCAGTGGGTGAATTCTGCCTCTAAATATACCAACAGTGGCTGAACCTCCACCCCCACAGGACGCCAGTGTTTACCAGTGTTGTGTTATGGGATTTTTAGGGTGTTGATGCTAAACTTATCATTTATCTCTTCTCCTCTCTTCCTGTGTTCCATTAGAAAGAGAGAGATTTGGAGTTGGCTGCAAGAATCGGCCAATCGCTTCTTAAAAAGAACAGAATTTTGACTGAGCAGAATGACTATCTGGAGGAACGAGTGGTACAAATCACAGAAGAGGTCTGCTTACACACACATTCATTAATCGGTCACTAACTCATAAAATCATTCATGTAGTTAATTTACAATTTGAAAAAAGGTCCACTTACTAGTGTTTTTGTAGGTTTTTGTGCTTTTTAGCAGATGGGGTACATCCATTATGTCAACAGTTGATGAAGACCATGTGATATGGTTGAAAACTCTGAGCTAGTAATAGTTAATTACATTAATCAATACACACTCATCTGTGTTTAATATCTACGCTAAACATTTACTGAAGTTAAATTGTGATCAGCAAGACTCATAACATTCTGATAATATGGGAAACAAAGCGGATTCACATGCGTAATAGTGTCAGATTCCTCATTGGATGCTAGCTGTTCTACTTATCTATATTTATCCCCACATACAAAGTAACTTCAAGAAAGATGTGCCGACAGCACAGTAGTGAGGAGTCAGCAACCTCAAATTTGTTCATTTGGATGGACTTCCTTGAACGTTTATGTAACCTGCTTCACACAACGAACCCTACTACTCATGCTCAAACCCCATTGGCTCATAGAACGAGGGGCTTCAGGAGGGAGGACTGCAAAACCCTTCTCATTTATGTAGAGACGTACAAAAGCAGTTAACTTCTTATGTCCTCTTCCAGGTGGCCCAGCTGCACCATGAGCTGAACCTGAAGGATGAGCTGCTGCAGTTTTACACCAATGCAGCTGAGGAGAGCGAGGATGAATCCAGCAGCTCCCCAACGTTAGCATCCTTTCTTTGTTCATCAATATCCCCCTTTCTATCCATAACATTTTTATTTAATAATTTATAGAGAATATTTTATTTAGAATTTATGTTTTTGAGGTGCCAAGCAAAAGCAAGCAGAAATGCTAAACACATAACATGCCATTTGATTCCTTTAAACTAGTACACTGACCTTCTGGCTATGAGTTTCAGGCTCACTCTGTGTTTATGTGTCTAAAGGGGAAAGAAAAGTAAATTGGAAACAGCTTCAGGAGCATTTGTGAGCGACACACTCCAAAGGAAACTCAAAGATCTGGAAGAAGAGAACCTGTCGCTCCGCTCAGAGGTATCTCCTCACAGCGTAACAACAACACGCACAAGCAATGTGACAAACTGAAATTGCTGGGGATATATTGTATATATTGTATTGTAATCATGGATGTCTACATGCAGGCTAACCATCTAAAGTCAGAGACTGAAACATATGAAGAAAAGGAGCAGCAGCTTGTTAATGACTGTGTGAAAGAACTCAGTAAGTCTTCTCTGTCTTTTATACTGTTTCTGTGTTTGTCTAAAACTTTCTGACTGAAATAGATTTTTAACACTCTTGTTTTTTCTGTGTTCCCTTTAACTTTGTCCTCTATTTCATGCTGTGCTGGATTATTTGGACACATCTTTCCCTCTCTCAGACTGAAATAAACTTTCTGCCCTCTCAGGGTTGTCCAGTCTCCAAATCTCTGCAATAGCGGAGGAATTGGCTCGTAAGACTGAGGATGCTTCCCGACAGCAGGAAGAGATCACACACCTCCTCTCTCAGATAGTAGATCTGCAAAAGAAAGCCAAATCTGTGAGTGCACATGGATAGACATGAACCCATTTTAATTCAGTAGTTAAAGACAGTTATTATGATCTGTTTGTTTTGCTAATTCAAACGTGTGTTTCTAGTATGCGGTGGAGAATGAGGAGCTTTCTCAACACCTAGTGGCAGCTAAAGATGCCCAGAGGCAGCTTACAGCAGAGGTAACTTCCACATCAATGCCCTGCCCCAGATACCAGACTGTTTGACTTTAATTTAAAAAGTTCATTTTAATGTCCACAATGATCAGCTCCAGGAGTTGGAGGAGAAGTATACAGAGTGCATAGAGATGCTGCATGAAGCCCAGGAGGAGCTGAAGAACCTGAGGAACAGAAACTACCCAGCAGGAACCCCTCGACGTTGCCATCCCCTGGGACTGTACCCCATGGTGAGAGAGTATGTGTGTGTGTTTGTGTGTATCTGTGGGTGTGTACATGATTATCATCCGTTCCTTCATGAGTTTTTGTGTTGCAGGATTCTCTGGCAGCTGAGATTGAGGGAACAATGAGGAAGGAGTTGAGTATGGATGACCCAGAGAGCGAGGAACAGAAGTATGTATGGACTAACAGTCAAGCTACTGTATGTTATTTATTTATTTTACAAGGACCAGACTTTGTCACTAATTGCTTTTTGAAAGAGTTAGAAATAATTGGAATTCAGAAAATATCAATTGAATTCTACTGATTTCCATTAGGTTTTCTCATGGTTCTAGGGATGGCAATGTCAGGCAGCACTTTGGTGACTGAAATATCTCAACCTCAACTGTTGGATTAATTGCCATGATTTTTTTCTATATTCAAGGTTACATTCAACTATAAATTCTGATAACTTTTATTTTTTAGTTTTAATTATCAAGTGAAGTATCTCAACATTTACTAGATGGATTGGCAAATTCTGCTCATCGATGCATAACTTTGGCGGTCCACTGACTTTTCATCTAGTGCCACAATGAGGTTGGATGTACTGCCATGAAATTTGAGAAGGAACTAGAGGACACACTGACTTTACACAACCCCTGAGATAACTTTTCTGGATTCACGTACTTTAACCCAAACCATGATTTTTTTTCCTCAACCAAGTAGCTTAGTGACTAAACCTAAAAAGCTCCAACCATTTCATGGGCTGTAGTGAAATTACTTACTGTATATACAGTATATTTTTGTGTGTGGTTGTCTGCAGAAGCCATCGGAAGCGTGTGTTTGAGACGGTTAAGAACGTCAACCAGACAGTCCGTCAGCGTTCTCTGACTCCAACCAATGCCAACATCCCGGGCTCCAACCAGTCTCTGTCAGCTCGTACATCGCCACAGTCCAGCGGTCTCTCCACACCTCACTCCAGCATCTATGGAGGCGACATCAGCGGAGACAGTATGGCCCTTGACAACCGAACACAGAGCATCCTGATGGAGACTGTGTCCAATCAGGATAGGTGAGGAGGAGCAGGCGTATACAGTGAATACATTAATGAGGACATTGAGACTGAGGACAGCTTTTAGACGCTCGCATGAATCTGAGAGTGAAGAAGTACCTTTAAAATGTTTTGTTTCTTGAGTTGAGCATTGAGGATTAGTCGAATGTTAGTACAGTTAAACGTGCTTCAACAAGTTGACATGATTTTCTCAAGATTCCTTGAAATGAAAAACATTCTTATCTTATCTGTGCTCTGGCAGCAGCACAGAAGGCCGAGAAAAGAAGGCCAGTGGAGCTGAGGACCTGCGGCTCGCCCTGCGCCGCCTGTCTCTGCGTCGACAAAACAACCTAAGCGAGAGGCGCTTCTTTGAAGAGGAGAGGGATCGGAGACGAGGAGGACATGGAGGTCTATCTGTAGCCCTGGGCCAGGAGCATGTGATGACTCCCTCAGAAAGCATCATGTCTCTTGGGAACCTCCACATTTGGGCCACACGAGGGCCCTACCTCCCTGACAAACTCCAGATCGTCAAACCGCTTGAAGGTGAGGGAGAAAGGGAGAAAAGGATGAGCTGCAAGGTGGGGAGGAAGTGGGAGGGCGACCGACACAGAGTGGTCGGTACAAAGAAAGGGAGCAAACGGGGCTGGGCGACGGAGGGGGAGAGGAGGTGGCATGGGCGGATGCTCGAGGCAGAAAAGGAAAGAGGTTGGGGATGGGCGAGGAAGACTGGAGCTGGGATAGAGAGGGAGAGAGGAAGGAGGTGGGCCAGGGACCGAGCTGGGAGCAAGAAGATGAAGGCAGCAATAGAGAGGAAAGAGAGGCCTCTGTCACTAATGCTCTTTAACTCTTTCTGGTCTCTGATGCACCACCACAAGTCAGGCAGTTTTGCATCTCCTCACAGTTATTACAAAGACACACAGCCGAGAGGATGGTTGTAGACAGATTCACACTTGTGATTAAAGAGAGGAAGAAACGGGGGATGACATTTTGGTTTATGCTCTGCATCCAAATCACCCACTGCTGTTCTCTAACTGATTCTTCTGGGATAACGGAAAACAGACTCAATAATGAGATTTACATATGATACCAAAGTAGCTATCCAGAAAGTGTAACGTAGAAGTGTGAACCCAGAGAGAGTCACAGCAGCGTTTTATTATTATTCCCCCTGTGATTCAGTGTTGATTTAGGCTTAAAGGTGGCTGCTGTTGGCCTGTGCTGCCCTCTGCTGGTAAATATTCATACTTCATTGACTACTGTTAGCCTAACATCTCCATGATATATAGAAACCCTGCCATTGCTTCTGTTTACATACATTTGTTTTTTTGTATTCACACCTTTTCGTTTCTTATATATGTATCACTTTTTCTTTATGTGTTTCTTTACAATTTTTATTTATTTATGATTTTCGTCTCTTCATTCTGTCTATGTTTCAAATTCATGTAGCTGACTAATAAAAAGCTTTCCTCATTCTAATTGCTCCTCCATTTCATTTTCATCTTATTCCTCTCGCTCTGCATCACCTTTTACTGTCTTTATATTCTTTCCATCTTTGTTTGTCACTGAGGCTTATTGTGTCATATTTCTCACCTTGCTTTGTCATGAATATGCTTATTAGACAGAATTATTACAAATGTAGTTGAAATGAATCACTAAATACATACTTTTATTGGTTACTTCTCATGCTTTTGCCACATAATCTGCAGTTTTGTATTCGCCCATATGTTCGGACTGTTTGTGATATATATGTGAGATCTGCTTTATTACAGTAGAATAATAATCAAATGGAAAAACCTACTAAGCATTTTACTGAAACCACAGCCAGCTGTTTCTGAAGCATTTCAGGAAATCAAGAACAGTAAATGTCTGGCGACAATAAAAGAACCATCTATTTGTTAAGTATCAAGTTCTAAATAATGCTTCAAGCGTTTATCGGTGTATTGTAGTTCTATTCATTTCTCTCCGCCAGGCTCTGCCACTCTGCATCACTGGCAGCAGTTAGCTCAGCCTCACCTCGGTGTGATTCTGGACGCCAGGCCAGGAGTTGTGCCAAAGGGCTACAGACCCCTCGAACTAGAGCTGGAGCAGGTCTGTGTTGTGTGTGTGTGTGAGAGAGAGTCCACATTAACAGTATGGTCATACTCATGTAAATGCATCTTTGTATTTGGTTTATAATGCAACATGTTGACAGATTAACACCGCTTTAATTATACAGGGAGTCAAGTCCCACTTGTGTGCAGGACTAATGAAACCAGACTGCAGTGATGTACAGTAAAATGCTCCTTCTTCTTCATAATGTCAAAGTCCATCTCCCTTAAACTTTTCTTCTGTTTCTCCTCTCAGTAAGTTCAGTGGGAGAAAACAGTGCTGAATAAAATACCAAAACAATTTAGGAAATTTTCTTGGATCGGTTTGGTATCACTGAATTTTTATTTTGATATTTAAAAGAAGGGATAAATAACAAAAACCTTGTTAGTCACATATTATATGACTAAACTCTTAAAAACTGTTAATATTACTACAAGTAATTGTTGTAACACCAGTGCACATGTATGCATCTGCAATGATCTGGTCTCTTCTTCTCTCTGTGCTGCGTTGTCTACAGGTATACCCATGGGGAGGCTTTGAGGAGGATGAACCAGGGGACCAATACTTCCAGAATCTTCCCACCTCCTCTGCCACTGCCTCACCAGCTGTGCCCTCCACCTCCAGCACCGCTGACACCAACATCGCTCAGCCTCCACCCACCCTCGCTCCACCTTCTCCACCCTCTCCATCCCCATCGCCACATCTCAGCAACACTGATGTCCTGGGTGAGGACATACTGTACATTTATACATACTGTCCTAAAACACCTGCGGGGTATCGAACTTACCTTTTTTAATGACTGTTAATGTTAATTTTAATGATGTGATGTGTTTGTGTGACTTGCAGCTGCATACTACCCAGGTAAATGCATGGCCCACACCAGTTCTACCTACACCTTCACAACCTGTCGAATCCTCCACCCAACTGATGAGCTGACGCGAGTCACGCCAAGGTAAGCGACATAAATATTCTGGTGCTGTTTGAAAGTTTATGATCAAAGTCAACTTTCTGTTCCCCTTTGATTGTATGAAAGTTTCTCTTTGATCTGCCAGACTTTACTCATAATCAGCTACTGCAAAGTTGAGCTTTTTTGCTAAAAGCAGCCTTATTCAAACATATGCCTTATTGCAAAAGTCCTAATACAATAATGTGTTTTCGTAAGAACTGTCATGTGTTTGCCTCCTAAAGATGCACATTTTCCCCTGTCTTAAATGCTGCATGCTTTTAACATATAAACATAAATGCCAAATTAAACATTTGATTCAGCTTAATGTGATAATGATGTGGAGATATGTGGCGCTTTGAGAATCCTACAGTGTTCACTCAGTCTGAAATGGACTAAATCCCACAGGACAAATAAGATCGAAACAGCATTCATTGAGATGGGATCATGTCCAAGCAACAATATTCAGTCAGTTGTCTGCTAAACAGTAGGAAGGTGCTAAATAATACATGCAGGTGCTTATGGTTCAAAGGAACAACAGCCCCTGTGCCAGTTAGTGTTGCTCTATTACAATGATGAGATATCACAAAAGTACAATTTAAGTATCCTCTTTTCGGTGTTTCTAATTTTTTCCATTCTTTTGTCGTGTTTGCTTTTCTTCTCCAGTCTAAACCCAGTCCCGGCATCGTCCTCCTGTGTGATGACAAGCACTCTGTTGGGTACTCCTGCTGCTACACCGTGCACGCCCCGCAGGCTCAGTCTCAGGCCATCTGAATCCTCAACCAACCTCAGGCACGGTTTCAAATACACTGGAAAACCACTTTCTGTCTTTTTCTTGCTACTGTAGGAAACAAAACTTTGTGTCTTTGTTAGTGAGTTTGCAGTTTGTTCAGTGGTCATCGTTGTCACACTGAGTTTGTCATAGTTTCCTTAAAATAAGACATGTATCCTTGCTAGTTTCACTTGTATCAGCCAATCAGTATGAAGTTGACTCTCATTTGTTTCCCATGTTTGTGCAGAGATGCAACACGCACCACCAGCACCTCCCTGGGGTTAGTGCGCCTTCTCCAGGAGAGAGGGATCTCTGCAGCGATGTATCACCAGAGCCAGGGCCTGGAGTATGGTCAGGGCATTGGAGGAGTCTTATTCAGCACTTCTATCGCCCCTAACCGAGTGCCCAACCCCGACCCTCTGCGCCCCTCTACCCCTCCCAACTCGCCCACAGGACAGGGAGCTTCCGCTGTGCCAACCCCCGTGGGCTTCGACTTCAAGAGCCCTTCCTACGACAACTTCCTGGCCTCCAAACCGGCCCGCTCCATTCTGAAAGAGGTGACGGGGAGAATGAGGGGCAGGCAGAAAGCTAGGGACTGCGAAAGCCAGACGGACGTTAGTGTGACCGTCCACAACCTCAACCTGCTGGACAAGGTGAAGCGGCTAGGTGTGGCTGGAGCTCCAGGGGCCAGAGCAGTAAGTCCCAGCCCGATCCTGGGGCCTCTGGGTGGGCTGCGCAGATCCGGCTCCCCTTTTGGGCCCGATGGAATGAGGAGGAACCGGAGTTATCCAGCCATGGTTGGAGCTAGCATGGCCATGAAAGCCCCAGGGCCCCAGGAGTAGTCTGTACTGCTGCTGGCTATTAGCCATGTAGGAGCCAGGCAGGGCCAAGGACCGACTGTTGAGCAGTCACCTGGAGCCCAAACACTGACTGACACTGTTCATACTGTACGACAACAACATGGCACTACTGACCAGTTTCTAATCACTACTGTGGTTCCACACAGACACTATCCATTCTTCAGTGCTTTAAGGTGGTGACTTATGCTTGAATTAAAATCAAAGTAAGTTAACGGGTTGGTTCATCCAAAACATCTTCTGGTATGTAGTCATGCAGATAGTTTTGGCTTTATGTGCCCATATTATGAGATGTTGCTGAAATGTCTCATGTCTCAATACAATGAAGGTGAAAGGAATTTCATTTCAAAGCACTGAACAATTACATTTAAAAACGTGTCTTTCCAGAAAATGTTCCTGTTACTCTGGATAATCCACAGATTTACTTCCTACCAATTAAAAGAAAACTTCATCAACATCATTTTGGAAAATGTGCTTTTTTGGCTTCTTTCTGGGAGTTAGATGAGAGGATTTATAACACTCTCATGTTTGGCGTTAAGTATGAAGCTGGAACCAGGAAGTGATTCACCTAGTTTAAAGACTAGAAATAAGGAAGTTCAAAAATACATCAAACAGAAGTGTAAAAGTTACTATTTGTGGTTTTAGATAAATTAAATGGTATCTGTAACTTGATGAGCAACACTTTATCGTCCGGGCTGTGTTCAGAAATAGTTCCAACAACTCCCCCTGAACCCCAACGTTTGTCATTTTTACTCTATGTCTGTTTGTGTATGTATTAAACACATGTTGTTAGTGAGCTTTGGAGGTGCTGGTAGGTAGATTTTTTAAATTTAAGATGAAGGCAGGCTAGCGGTTTCCCTTGTTTCACTCTAAATATATGCTAAGCTAAGCTAGTTGCCTTCTGGCTCTAGCTCCGTACTTAATGCTAAGACATAATAGTATAAATCATCGAAAACTCTCGAAAAGTAGGCATAATAGTGTACTTCCGAAATTGTCACATTAGTCCTTTTAAAAAGTCAGAATGAAAACTTTTTACAGTTTGTTCTGTGGACTTTCCAGAGTAAGGGCATGGGTACACATTTGCAAATTCTTTTTCATGGTGACCTAGACCACCTATTTGGCACAGACATCCATGTCCCCTTTAGGATGAATTGTAATATGTTTGGTGATCATCAGGTCTGAATTTTAATTTGTCCAATACCAGTTACCTGCAAAACTAAAAATATTCTTTGGTTTTAGCACTAATTAGCAAATCATAGCACGCTAATACACTAAACTAAGATGATGAACATGTACCAGCTTAACAATCAGCATCTTTATTATCATTTTAAGCACGCTGCTTTTAGCATTTAGCTCAAAGCACCACTCAGAGCCTCTATAGACTTTTGTCTGGTTATTTTTACACAGATATGTTAAATCTGGGCACATAAAACCAATTTTATGTAATTTGATCTTATGTAATTGGGTGAACTGACCCACTCAAAGCAGAATATCTTGAAAGAGAGCTACTGAGATATCTGTCTGCTCCCACTGCTGTCCACTCACATCCCTGCTTTGGAGACTGACTCTGCTGGCTAGATATAGTACTCCCACTCTCGCCTTTTCTGAAACACATCCACAAAATCCCACACGGATCCAGACATACACCGGTGCACTCTGTTACATCTGCCATTGCACTAGTTGTACTACTACTAGCTGTAGCACTAAACCATGCCTTTCTTAATCTCTATTATTGGATTAAGATCCACCTTTTTATAAATGATTATACAATTTACACCAAATACATGAAAATATGTCACCCTTGCTGTAGCGCTCTCTCCCCTCAGTCATACGCCTACCTAAATGATTATCTGTGAGTCTGAGAAGTCCCTTTGAACAAATCACTGAATAGATTTTTTTGTCAGTATTAAAGATACCTTGGTTTAGTTTCCTAATTGGCCATTAGACAGGGAAGTTGATGGTGCTTCCATCGATTGGACGATCAATAGGCTGAAGCCACAGCTCACAAAGAGTGAGAGAGGGATAAGGGAAGTGATTGTGGCTAATCAGCCGTCATGGTCAGAAGCTTTTGGAGAAATGAAGCAATATAGTGCCTCGAACATCTGTTTTTGATGATTTATGTTCTTTATGTGTTGGATTGTGAAAGAGCTGCCACGGCCATCATTGCACTTGTGTTTATTTATTTTTTAAAAATCCTTTGAATTTGTGGTCATAGAAATGATGTTGTCTCACATGTGCTCACTGTATATACTGTTCATTGTCACTAGATTGTAAGTAATGACACACTTATAAAGGAATTGTTATGTGTAGTGCATAACCAAGAACCACACATCACTGTAAGTATTGAGGTGAGCATATAATGAGGGTTTTTTTCCAAATAAAAGTTCAGTAATCATACAGTAACTTCCCCTCTGTGTGTTTTCCCCCTTTACATGAGATCATGACTCTTTCAAGACCTTGATTTCAAGACATGAAATCAGTATTTACCCTCCTCCAGCAGATGGTGCTCACGAATAACTCAGCCCACAAAATAGTCAGCATGTGAAGTGCATGCTGTCTGTCCACATAGGCCGGTCATAATCCATTAACCATTCACCATCTGTATCTCTTGTGCTATGAGGGATATGATGAGGGCAGCTTATTAAACCTCCATTAGCCACAGGGTGAACAAGAGGTCAGCAATAATCCAAAAATGCCGCTCTGGCAGCCGGGGACTCTAATTGAAAGAAATGAAATCTGTCTCAAATGTCACCGATGTCTCTCATTGTGGTTATTTGTCCCCTTTAGAATAACATTTTGTTAATCTTATTTATCAAAACATCAAATCAACTTCCTCCTGAGGCGAAAGAGGAAGTCCAACATCAGTTACAAATATCCTCTTCTGAGCACAGAAATCACATACAGTATGGCAGTGGTTCCCAATCGTATTGTCTGATGTACCCCAGTATGTTAACAATGGCAGACTGACGTTAGCATTTAGCTCAAAGCACCACTGTGCCTAAATACAGCCTGACAGAACACAGAGCGCTAGCATGGCTGTAGACTTCAGTGGCTCAGTCACATTTGCATTTGTACTAACGGAGTAGCATTTCAACCATTTCTCTCTTCTGTTTAGCTATGTATTCCACTTTTCTGCTCATTTGCTAACAAGTTTTCAAGAATTCTCAGTCACAGCACATTTTACAACTGACTCAGATTGTTGGGAGTCGTATCCTTTGCAGTCTACCTATTATATCTGGTATTTTGTTGTTGTTTTGTTTTGTTTTTTTGCCAGAATATATTGAAGATCAGCTTCACACCAATTTGTAATTGTTCTTATGTGTTTATTTCCCTCCTGTGCCAGACTATTTCTGGCACAGAAATCTTCAGTCTTTGCTACTGGTGGTAGCTTCATATTTACCATACAGACATGAGACTGGGATCTTCTCATCTAACTCTCTGCTAAAAAGTATACAAGCGGAATTCTCACAATGACAAACTATTTCTTTAGTTTAAAATGCGTAGTGATGTTTCCTACATCACTATGTGTGTTATGTGCTTATGGTTGCTAGTTGCATTTACAGTCAGGAACTCTCCTTCCCTGCTTTTACCATGAGTTCTTCTGTTTTAGATGCCAGTAAAATGCCTTTGAATTGACTGAAGCCGATCTGAAGTTAAAGAATGGAAATTCTGGAGACAGATGGGACAGAGAATGAAAGGCAGTGCATTGAGCCAGTTTCATAGATGGTCCAGGAAGAGCTCAGACCATCTGCTCGTTACCGTCGCTGGATCTTTATTACAGCCATGCTCTTGGAGCTCATGTTCTTTTCATGAATGTGTGGCTTGGCTTTGCCCATTAGCACAGAAACGGAGCACTTATGCATATATGAGAGCTCGAATCACTCCATGTAAGATGTTGTCGGCGATGCATGCTTTCGCCTTTTGACCTTTTTGTATCATTTGCACTCGTAGCAGATATCCACACACACACACACACGCACACACACACACACACACACACAGCAGATATTTACTAGCAATCCCACTGCAGCCTTTAAACCTTTCCAGAGCCTTTAACTCCAAAGTTTTCTGCCTCAGCTCTTTAAAGAGAAAGTTTTAGTCAATTCCCATGGTCCTATCAGAATCTCAAGTCTCTGTTTCTGATTCAAGTGCGACCTCAGTCCGAGCCAGTGGCTTCACTGCCCAACACACACACACACACACACACACACACTAACATATAAACACGGTAAACCCTCTCTTCCCCCAAGGCATCCAAAACCACTTCTCTGAATAATTCACCGAGCCTGCTTTGTTCATCGATCCCTCTCTCCACCTCTCACTCATACAGACACATTTTTCACTTAACACACGGGGCCAGGAGCAGCATAATGGGCTCCTTCATCACAATTCAGCACCACTATGGATTTCTCCCCTTTCCTTTACTAATGCTTCCAACAGGTTGAACCTAGCATCCTGTCTGCTAGCTTTTGTCACAGTTGTTTTCAGGATAATCGTAACAAAGAGAATTTAAATGTCAAGTGAGCTCTAACAATAAGTGTACATACCAGGTCATCAAATCTCTTTTACTGCCTAAAGATGTTTAATCATAATATTTCTCATAACAGCAAAACATACTGGGCTCTTTAAAACTGTTATTGTCTCTCTAGTGGAGCCAAAAGCAATTATTATGGTTTATTTTGAGCCTGCTTTAATAATTCAATCGATATCTGTTTCTCTAAACACTTCAAACTGTTTCAATATTTAGCACAGACGTTAAAGCTCATAATGATCTTCCAGTTCTTTTGAAGATATTCTCGATCATTCCCCGGCACGCTTCCTGAATGATACATTCTCTGACTTTCATCTCCTCTGTGGAGCTACACACTGACCCTTTTTCTCAGCATCAGACATATCTGCCTTAACATTCATCATCATAGTCTAAAACCAGCATCATTACCCATAATCCACCATGGGTTTCTGATGTGCAGGAGTTTGCTTTCATCAATTATCAGCAAAGACACTGACTTTTGACACTGGAAAAAGAATGATTTGAAATCATTTTGTTAGTTTAGATATTAGCAATATTACACAGGTGCCTTGATTATGCAATATATGTTACACATCTATATTTATTTGTATGTTTGTATTCCAACATATTTGACTTATTACACTAAACATTTGATATTAAAAAAATATACTGGGCAGAGGACAAGAAGTGGATGGCAGGTACCATCAGATACTCATGGATCTGCATGCACACTGAGGTCATATCTTTCATGGTGATCTCTACAAAACACATCTAACAATTTTAGTAGTTTAAATAGGTAAAAAAGAAACCCCAAACAGTAATAATAACTTTGCAGATAGCATCCAAATAAGAACAAAAACATTCTTTCACAAACATATCCCCATTTCAAGATAATCCCTTTAATAATACGTTCTAAATATCTGGAGGGATATAGTAAGTATAGTATAGTATATAGTATAGTAGTAAACATTTCTTCATAGCATAAGATGGCAGTGGCATGAGTTTGAACAAAGTTTAAATTTTAATTTAATTCTAGAGAGGGAAGTGGCAAATCTTCAGATGGAGGACCCAGCAGCAGAAAAAGCACATCAACTATGATTATTTTAGATTTACGTCACAATACCACACTTTGCTATACAGTGCCGAAGCTGGGAAACGTGTCCACAGTGATGAAAGATGAAACACTGGGTTGATAAACTGTGGTCCATCTTATTCCAAACAGAGGGAGTCACGTAAAATATGTGAATTAATTTTGTATTGACTGTCCCTCAGTCTATTGCATCTAAAACCAATCAACAATCTCTTTCCAGTCATCCTCTGTGTACTCATAGTCAAACTCATTCTGTGTTGGGGTTTCATTTAGAATGTAGAAATAAAGAAAGGGAAGGAATTACACGAGACAGAATAGACATATGATGCTGATTTTGAAAGGTAATATATGACAAATGATTTAGTCAAGTGTTTAGGTTTGATATTATATCCTTTTATTTAGAAGGCCCTTGCCCTCATAAACTATCACCAAAAATGACTCGTAGAGCACCTGTGTGTGCTTATCAATGTGTTATGAGTTTTACATGCTCACACTGTCATCCGCTTTTGATGTTATTGTTCACAACATAATGCATCAACAGAGATGCATAAAAATCGATTTTATGTTTGCAGCAGTAATGAGGTGCCACAGATAATCTTGTTTTGTGACACACTGTATGAATGCACCCAATGAATGTTAATGGATCCAATTTAAGCAGCATGCATTGTATTAGAAGAATTCATATGCAGCGAGTGATATTTTCAATCTTTATTCAGTCCAGTTAGTCTCAACAGACCCTGATACCATCCCACCCCTTTCCACCCAAAATGATAAAGAAACCAGAGAAAACCAGAAACAAACAAATCTTGGACAGTGAGAGCTTTTCTGCAAAATTTGGCATATGTATATTGCATTATTACAGTCTTACAAACAAATGTACAACAAATACATCATAAATAGACTCTTATTGTGAGACAGTGAGGAGCCAGCTTGCGTGGAGTTTTTTTTTTTTTTTTTTGTTTTTCTCGTTTGCCCGTACGTAGACTTCCCTTTATGAGGAGTACTCATACTCCTCTGCACTGCGACGGCCGAAATCCATCCACCCCAAGTAGTCCCTGTCTGCTATCCGGTGGTTGGCACTCAGCCCTCTGCTGTTAGCCGTGGAGTTTCTGCGCACAGAACCTGGGAGGAGAAGTGGGGAGGAGGAGGAGGAGGGGTGGAGGTGACAGAAAGAGTGGGTGGAGGAGAAACAGAGCAGGGGGGAAATGAGTATTCCTTGGAGTAAGGAGGATAAAAACTTCACTGATTGTGGTCCTACTTTTTGTGTGTTTATGCCAGAGAAAGCAGGTTTGAAATGCTCTTGATTATGGAAGTGAGGTGCAAGCAAACATGGTGCAAAAACACAGTGAATGTGACTTTAATCAGATTCATTCTGACACTGACAGAACTGAGAGGATTTATTTAGTGTTTGTTTTTTAATAATCAAAAGATCATAGTTCAGTTGAAATAATTATATCTGGTTACATGTGGCAGTTTTTGGGTGAGATTGGACACAAACGATGCTCTCATAAAACCCAGCAGTTAATAGTCTTTGTGCGCTAAAATGTATTTTCAGTGATTTATGCTTTTAATATAAAAAATTTCACTTTTACAAGTTTTTTGGGGGGTCAGATTATATGCCCTCAGGTGGCAGTTTAGCAGTTAGTTCAGTTCATTACCAAATTACGGAGAAAGAACTGTTTGCAATATTTGACGACTGATTATGTTTGGTTTATGTGACTATTTGGGTTTTAAAAATTCCTCTTCTTTAGATTTGATTTTGTGTTGGTTTTTGCTGTAAAGTTGGTTTGTGGTTTGCTTTTGGGCATTTTAACTGTCTCTTTCTCATTATTTTTCTC